AAATCAAGCTGTGTAACTGTAATTTCTTGACATGTGCATGAATCGATACTTGTACAAACTTTGAAGAAAAACTACAAAAAACGAATGCAACCTACCATTGCATTTCTTTAAGAAAAAGTTTAAATGAAAGAATAGGAATGTTATTATTTTTTTTAATTATTTAAAAAAAAATTTCTGTAAAAAGGTCAAAAAATAAAATTAATAATTTCACACAAAAAATTAAAAGGCTCATACTAAGAAAAAAAAATTACTAGAAAAAAAAATTTAATAATAAATGCTAGTTGAAAGAAACAATTGCAGAAATGAAAAATTTTTTTAAAAAAGTATCAACTGCTCAAAATAACAAATGAGAAAATATATTAAATGAAAATTTTAGTGAAAGACCAAATGAAAAAAGAAAACTGGTTTTTGTGAAAGTTAAAGATATTTGAGCAACTAGTAAGTATGCTATCAAAATAATTACACAGGAATTTGAAAGAATTTTACACAAGTTGAATGCCTCAATAATTTCAAGGATCAATTTGCTTATACCAAGTCTCTTTTAATTGAAATTAAAGTTTTTAATTTATATGAGCTTAATATTTCAAATGTTGTTCTATGTTCAAATGTAAAAACAACCTATTCCCAATACTTTTTCATAATTTATATACCAAAATAGAAAAACTAACAAAACCTAATTTATAAAATAATAATAACATTTGTCAATCAACTTATCAAACTAATTTTGGAAAACATTGCATTTCATTTCGAGGAGCTTTTCAATGGAATAAAAAAAAAGTTTGAAAAATTTGACTTTTCTCAAGAATTTAGCTATTTTTTTTCAAACAAAAACTTAAAAGAGTACTTTATTTTTAGATGATATATCTGTTTTCTTGAAACCTTTTAAAATTTAAGAATTTATTAACTTTTATAAACACTTTTTTTAATTATAAAACTGTATATTTACATCTTGAAATTGATAACAGAATACAGTCTCATACAAATTTTTTTACCATACATGTATTTCTTAATATTGTTCTGGTAACTTTTTATTATATTTCTGTATTTTATATTTTATAATGGATTGCTTTTTTTTAAATGTACTAAAGGAACAAATAAATATATATCAACCCTGGGAATTAGGAAAATGGAGGTCGGGAATAAATTTAATATATCTATATCTATATATATATATATATATATATATATATATATATATATATATATATATATATATATATATATATATATATATATATATATATATATATATATAATATATATATATATATATATATATATATATATATATATATATATATATATATATATATATATATATATATATATATATATATATATATATATATATATATATGTATATATATATATATATATATACATACATATTGTATATATATATATATAAATAAGTAATAATGTATATATATATATATATATAAATAATATATATGTATCAGGGGCGTATCCAGACCATCTAGTAAGGGAGGCAATTTTTGATTCAGTGCATCCGTCCATTTAGGAATAAATGAGGGAGGGTGGATTGATTTGGTAAATCATAATTATTCAGTAAAGGTAAGGGAAAGGAAGGGGGGGGGGGAATTTTCAGGTTTTTTTGTTAATTTTTTAAGAATATTGTTCATTCACTGTCTAAATCTTTTTAGCGATTAAATTATGTTATATATTCATCAGTTAAATTTTTTTTGTACTACAGAAACATATTCAAACATTTTATTACATTTAAACATCTTCCCTAAATAAGTTTTGTTTTTAAACAATTGCTAAGTTAAATATATAAATTTACAAAAAAAAATTTTTTTTTAAATATCTAAGAATGGGGGAGGGGAAGGGGGTTTAAAAATGATTCATTTGTAAACATTGAAGGTTTTCATTTGTATAGAAAAGACAGATCAGATGGACAATAGAGCAGTAGCGTTTGTTCATATAGACAACCCATTAGATTTCTATGAACTAAATGATCCTGTTCTAAATCCCTGTAAACAAGAACAAGTGTGGGAAGTTGTTTTGATAATGACAAGTATTTACTTGATCTATCTACAAGTCAAATGATTATTTAAATATGCCAAAATTGAATGTAGTTTTTGGCCTGGCATCCAAATATATAGACAAAAATAAGTTCAAAGACTTACTTATCATGGGCAACTTCAATTTCCTATTAATCAGCTGGTCAAATGGCTGTGTTGATGCAATTTCAAATAAGAATATAATTGAGTATAAATTTACAGATATTTTTAATTATAATTATCTTCATTAGCATATTAATAACCAACTTTCCAGCTGTCAGATAAACAACTTGTGAATACCTTAGATTTGCCTTCTTTTGCTATCAATGCTAGGTTAAAGTTACTTATTAGAAACAAACAAAATTTACAATGTAAAAACTGCTCATGTAAATGGAAAGACTCGTTTCTGAAATCTAAATACAAAATTATTTGCAAAAATGCAGCAGATGAGATTAAAAAAATGAGACAAAACTTTA